GTTAATTTGCACCTCAATTTTAAGCGCATGAAGTTCATGCGAGTTTTGGTCCTTGAGCGGAGGAGAAAATAAAAATGCCGACGATGTTATTTCTGTGGCATTATATTTTATTCTCTCTGTTTTTTTTTTTTCAAATTATTTCCTGCTAATATAATTACTAAAGCGATTAAGATTTTCTTAATCTATTTCTTTGTTTTTCTATTTTCTTATTATTGGAGGAAATACAATATTTGTTAAATATAATCTTATTTTCTATTTAATGCAAAGAAACATAATTGTAAATAACAATGAGAGATATTTTTGTGATTTTTTAATTCATTAATTTCTTTTAAATTTTCTTCAGTTTTAAATACAAAGTCGTTAATTGTAATTTTATTAGTGAAATTGTGAGTATCATAGTTTGTACAGTAAAGATTTTACTTGATTGTATTATATTTTAGTATTTGAGAATGTTTGGTATAAAATCTTAGTTGTGCAGTTATTATAATGAATCAATGTAGTGTTTTTCAACTTAATTTTTCTGTTGTCGCAATTCTGGTTTAGTTCTATGCTCTATTCTTTGCATTTTTTATTAAAATAATTTCTCCATCAATTTGAAGGATTTCTCTAATGCTATTTTTGATAAGATCACAATTTAATAAGTAAATGCAATGTTTAGAAATTTGTAGTTTATTGAGTGTTTTAGCTTTTTCGAATTTATAAGTGACATTTTTGTATTCAAAAATATTTTCAATTTCTGTTATTATTTCTCTACCTGCTGCATTTGGTATAGGAATTATAGTTTTTAATTGTACCGATGGAAATTCTCTTGGGATTTTGACCACGAACATTAACAAATTTCTTTATATTCCACGGCGCATAAGTTTATATATTGAAGTTTGTTAAGGTCCATGTTGTAATTATAAATTTTTTCATTTGTTAAAATACTTGGGTGAAAAATACCACTTTTTGCTGAAATAATGTTTTCCTGAATCTGATTTACTGAAAATGTTTATCTTTATTGTTTGTTCATGAACAATCAATATTTTGTCTGATCTCTTTCGATACATTAAAGAATTCTTTCTTCGTGTTCAATAATTAGTTTTAATTTTGTGACCGTGTTCGAAAAGAAATTATTAATTTTTATTTGGTGTTTGAGAGCTGTAATTGAATTATGTAAATTTGTATCTACTTTCTTAAGATGACTTTCAATGTCTGTCCTTTCTCCATCATCCATCGTTCCAAATATAAATTTATGTACAGAACCTATACCGTTAATTAAACCTCTCTGTTTTCTACTAACTTCTTTTCTTGGGATTAATGTTTTGAGTTTACCTCTCAAGATGTGAATATGTTTGCGTGATTTTTGTTATATTATTTAGTATGTAAAGAATTTCAAGAGGGTCAATTATGTGAATTACGAGGTCAGATGACGTAACAATCTGTTTAGTGTTGCTAATATTTCTTCTTTCCTAAAAAAATATTTTATGCTAATTGAGAATGAATTCATTATCTAATATTAACTTTCTGGGCCTTCCTTTGATAGAAAAGAATAGCCTAGGTTTTTCTATAATAGTTATACTGTTTCTATCTTCTAGCTAAAATGCCAACGCAATTTGTTTATAAATTTGTCCTTCATTTTTCATATCTTTAGCATGAAATTCACATCCTTACCTGTCTATTCAATATTTGAATAAGCTTTTGCTGAACTATATTATACTGATTATCGGTGAAAAAATACCTATTTTTCCACTATTTATGTGCCTACGATAAACATCTATGAAATTATTATTTTTTATATCTTCTGCGCTAATAAAAATTTTCTTCGGTAAAACGTCAGCCAGAGGTTCGGAATCTAAGAAATTTTATATATGTACTTATACATATGGTATACTCTAAGCAGCTCTTACACAGGCCGACAAATTCGACATAAGATTTGTTAGTAAAACGAAAGTAATACTTCACATACAATCACCAATCATATGAACAAAGTCAGCCGGATCGACAATTCTGGTAATGGTTATTAGGGGTATGGGGGCTCAGGGAAGTATTGGCCCGATTCGACATACATACATACCATTATAAAAGAAGAATTATCCCTGAATTTCAGTTATACATCCATATTTTCTGTCAAAAGTTAACTAAAGATACTGGGGTCCCCATATTCGGTACTTAGGGCCTTGGGCAGCTTTTATTGGATTTGAACAACTTTCGGTCGAAAGGTGCCATACTTTAATGGAATTATCAGGAGAATTTTATTCCTTTATATTAATTACTTCTCGATTTGTGTACTGGAGCTTTCCACTTGAAAGAATCAAGTAGCATTTTAAGTTGTATATATACTTATTAAAATGTTACCGGCACTCACCTTAGTTTCTAGTTGGAGCGAACGTAAAATGTTTTTTTTCTTCGATGCGTGTTTGCGCGCGGATGAAGAACAAAAGAGGCTCGATGCCGTCCACCAGTCCCTTTTGTTAATTGTGTGCTGGTGTCCTCGTGTGTGATGTGAAAGTATGGTGGAGATGATGCTGTGGTGGGCATCATGCCGATGTGTTAAGAATGAGGTGTGTAGTGTGGGATGAAAGTATGATGCGCATGATGCCAATGGGTTGAGTATGGTGTGTATATGTGAGGTGTAGCTGTGTTATATTAATAGGGGGCTACAGAAGCTCATTTGGCCATCCAGGCCCCCCTAAACGACTGTTTAGCCTAGAAGGCGCTGAAGGTCTTGCAGCGTTGCCACAACGTCGTATTGAACGACCGTTTTTTGTTAGTTTTCCTTGTTATTTTTCGACAGTTTACTATGTTTTAGCGGTTTGTTATTGGCGTATTTCTGGGTTTAGAGACAAATTTAGTGATTTTATTATATCGCGATTTTATCGGTTTCATTTTTGCGGTTTTCGAATTCGTGGTCGTCGGTGGGTGGTAAAAAGCATAGCTTCACGAGCGGTCTGGTTAGTGTTCCGTTTCGCGTATGGAGATACACGACTCGTATGTAACCGTCGAAGCCATAATGTAGCTTTTCTATGCGGCCAAGCCGCCACTCGGTAGGGGGTAGACAATGATTATGAATGAGGACTCAGTCTCCAAGTTTAGGTGCTTGTTCAGGACTCTTCCAGCGGTATCTTTTGTGGAGATCCTTTATGTATTCGTCCTTCCATCGGCGACTGAAATCATGATGAAGAATTTTAATTCGTTCCCTTCGATTTAATAGGGATAGCGACTCCACGCCTGGCTCAGGAATGGCCAGGATGGGTGCTCCTTTTAGAAAATGCTATGGAGTTAAGGCAGTGAAATCTGAGGGGTCTTGCGAGAGTACTGTGAGTGGCCGTGAATTGAGAACGGCTTCAATTCGATTTAATAACGACGTGAACCTTTCGTAATTGAACTTATTATTTCCAGCTACCCGCTTGAAATGGGATTTGAAGCTTTTTACAGCTGATTCCCATAAACCGCCCATATGAGGAGCGCTTGTGGGTATAAATTGCCAATTGATACCTTGAGGGGCGTGCTTTTGTACGATGTGGGGTGACACTTGTTTTAAGAAATCCACAAATTGCTTTTCTGTGGCTCGCTGAGCTCGAATAAAAGTTTTGCCATTATCACACATGACTTTAGATGGGTAGGCACGTCAAGCGACGAAGCGAGCAAATGCCGCGAGAAAAGCCTGCGTCGTCAGATTACTACATAGCTCAAGGTGTACTGCCTTTGTCGTGAAACATAGCCTTTCATGAGAGTGGGAGACCTTAACATAGACAGATTATTTTCGAACTGTTATCATTTTTCGAAGCGAAGAGGTTTCACTTGCTCGTCCCAGTCGATTCCGTCTAGCCATAATTCTTGTATTAAGATTTTAGCTTAAATCATAATTGGCGAAAGCCATCCTGTGGGGTCGAAAAGTTTTGCCACCGGGGATAAAATCTGTCTTTTTGTGATGGCTGATAATGCGGATATGGACTCTGTCGTGTATGAGAACTGGTCCGATATCGGAATATGAGGAAATTAGTGTCCAACAAATTTTCGTTTGGAATACTTTTGAGTATATTTGGGTGATTTGCAGTAATCTTTTTTAATGAAAACCCTGCGGATTAGAGGGCTTTTATTACCTATGCTAAGGCCTCGTATGCTTGTGGAAGAGTGGGACTCTCAGACAGAATATCGTCTACATACGTTTGAGTTTTCAAGACTTTAGTTGCCAGAGGAAATTCTGAGTTTGTGTTGTCTGCCAATTCGTGGAGTGTTCGAATGGCTAGATATGGTGCAGAGTTGGCGCAAATTATAACTGTTTTTAGTTTGAGGTCGTGTAAAGGACTGATGGGGATCTTCGGAACATAATACGTTGAAAATTTTGGTCGTCCCCTTTGAATACGTATTCGAATATACGCCAGTTTAATATCAAAAGCATTAAATCTGGTTAGAGTGGTGGTGGTTTCCGAGGCATTAAAAACAACTCTTACTTTTGTTGTTTTTTTACGACGTACCCCTGATCTTCAGGGGTGGTGACTGATACGAGGGGAGTTCTTCTAATTCCCAACTTTTTTCAATTGTGAATTGAGGTAGAATAGAATGGAATATTTGAGGTAATGCACCGCGACCTAAGGTCTATTGTGCCCTCTCCTATATCACGTGACCTCCCAGAGCCCCAGCAACCTTAATAGTTCTAGGAGTTTGCCGGGCGCTAGTGAGATGATGTGATCCCTACTGATGTAAGCAGAATCCAGGGCCTTAAGCCTTTTTCCACAGATTGCTGAGCAATCCAGGATTAGGTGTGCTGGTGTTTCCTGTTCCAGGTCACAGAATCGGCAGTTAGCGCAGGAGACCATGCCCATGTTGGACAGGTGCTTCCTGAGCATACAGTGGCCTGTGTAGATTGCGACGGGGGGGATTTTTCACGGGGGAGGTGAATTAGTTCTCTAAATCTGGGGAGGTTGTATCCTCCTAGAAGCAGCTTGGCGTGGCGCATACTTGCTGCTTGTCGCCAGTGAATTTCTCTCTCCACTCTTAAGAGTGTGGGGTCCTACCGCTATGTATGGCTCCGGTCTCAACATCTTTGACGCTGCTGCAGTGCGGGCCAGTTCGTCGGCCTTCTCATTACCTTCTACTCCCTTGTGTCCTGGTACCCATATTAGATGCACCCGATTACACAGGGACATACGGTTTAGCCGTTCTATGCATTCCTCGCCAATAGGTATGGACAGCTTGGTACGCGGTCCCGCGATACCTGCCCCAATACCTTCCGGTGTTTTTGAGCCATCAGTGTACCACTGAATGGTGCTGTCTTCTAGTAGCCTTTCCAGCGCGGAATCACTCCACACCGTGTTGCTGGCTAGAGTAACTTTGAAGTTCTTCTTGAAGTTTATTTTCTTAGTGGTGCTGTCCTTAGGGAGGAGAGCTAGCGGTGTGCTCTCCGCTAGTTCGTCCATCTGTCTAGAGGACATTACCTGATCAGCCTTCTACTGACATTAGCAGCATGGTGTGCTTACTTGGCTTGCATCCCCATGATCTGCCGGCCAGGTGTCTAGTGATCATTAGTGCTCTAGTTGCTTTGGACAGCGTTAGGTCCAAATGCCTACTCCACCCTAATGATGTTGCTTATGAATAGCCGAGTTGAACGGACGTGTGCGTGGATTGTTTCAGTTGACGGTGCGAAAAATCTAGTGACAGTGTGCGAACAATAGACGCAAGTTCAGTGCTTACCTTCCCAAGAAAAAGGGGATTAGTGTGGGATTTTCCCAGACAGTGTGCGAATAATAGACGCAAAAATTTAGTGCGCAGTGACAAAAGTGTGTGTGTGTGTACAACACAAAGGATTAAGCGCAGTGACCGTACCAAAAGTGTGTGTGCTACCTAACGCAGGTAGAAACTTGTTCTATTGCGAATAATAGACGCAAGTTCAGTGCGGRATAACTTACCTTCCCAAGAAAAAGGGGATTAGTGTGGGATTTTCCCAGACAGTGCGCGAATAATAGACGCAAAATTTAGTGCGCAGTGACACAAGTGTGTGTGTGTGCACCAYAAARGATTAAGCCCAGTRACCGTGCSAAAAGTGTGTGTGCTACCTAAYGCAGGTAGAAACTTGTGAAAAAAGGGCAGAAACTCCTGTGCGTAAAAACCCCACAAATTGTTGGGATTTTCCGTTAGACAGTGGACACTTAGTGCTTTCCCATTCGGGGAAATTTTGTGAGGCTGAAATGCCTCCCACAAAGAGGAAGGGATACAAATCCCGAGATGACGTGTAGGAATACGTCACGACGGTGGAAGTAGAGGCTTCTTCGGACTCTGATGGAGTCCCAATTAAGCCGCCGTCGCCGAAAAGGAAGGCCCGTAAAGGGTCGTCAGCRAAGGAGGGGAAGAGCAGCGCCTCAGGCAGGGACAGCAGTGTGGCGAGCACTGCCAAGAAGTATAAGGATGCCGGCAAGAAGAGGAGCAGCGGTGAGGAGAAACGCCCAGCGAATGGAGACGTGGTGCAGAAGACAACAACAGCGGAAAATTTAAGTCAAAACAAAATTGAGGGAAGGGGTGCTTTCGCCCACGTGGCAGCCTTAAAAGCTGTTACCGTGAACGTAAGCGATGTGGTTTTCGGGTTGGGACTGGGTGCTCCAACAATGAAAAAATTGTTGGATTTTTCGTCACGGTATGAGGAGATCCTCATGACCGTGATAACGGAGAATGCCCATCTCCGTGGGCAAGTGGACGCCCTAAAGGGGGGTTGTGGGCCGTCCCACATGGCCACGTATGCGTCTGTGGCATCCGCGGCATCTCCTTCGGCGCCATCCCCTCCGGCACCCGTGCTGGAGGCAATAGCGCCCAAGATGCCGAGACCAACGGAGACCTGGTCTGTAATCGTCAGCAGCAAGGCTCCTGCCACCTCATCCAAAGAGGTGGCCAAGAAGGTAGAGAAGGAAGTGGGACCTTCTCTCGGCGTGCGTGTGCACGCACTCTTATACACATCTAGATGTGTATAAGAGWGARGGGTGTGCACACTGAATTGAAGCTTGAAGAGTTCATGGAGGAGCTCTTCGAGCATAACATTAAGGAGCGTTGTCCTGGTGCAAAGAAAGCCGATCTCAGGGTTGTAAGCTAGCCCTGGGAGGTTAAGGGTGATGGGAGGACGAACGTCGTCCTAGAAGGAGAAGACATAGTAATGTCTTCTCTTTTGGAAACAGGAAGGGTCTACGTGAAGTGGTTCTCCTTCCGTGTGCGCGCAGATAGCCCAGTTGCCGGATGTTTCCGGTGCATGGGCTTCGGTTAAAGAGTGTCGGGCCAAGTCCGATGTCTGCCGGAGGTGTGGCCAAGAGGGTCACAAAGCTGCCCGTTGCAACAATGCCCCGCATCTTCCGATCCTTTCTTGTCCTTCACCTGTACCGCCACCAGATCTTGCGTTAGAAACTCTGAAATACAGAAAAAGTCTATATCGGCTCTAACGACTACACAGGATTACCTTGCTTCTTCTCGAGTTGAGGTCTCTTACCTCTCCTTTGAACACCCAAGGTTCCTGGATTAGAAGGATGCTCAGGTTATCCGAGATGAACCTCTTCACGATGACAGCCGAGGCTGCCGATGCGTGATGTAGGTTCCCCTGAGCCACTTCCATGCCAGCACTGGAGCTTATAATATAGGTTCGATGAGAGACAGGTCCTCGTTCTCTATCTCATCATCAACCTGCATCTCCAGCCCTTCCAGAAGCTCTTGGGTGGATGACGTGCCTTCCTGTTAGTTGGGGAGCTCGTTGCTTCTGGTTCCATCCGCGGCGGTGGCCGCAGCCTGCCCAGCCGAGATGGGGTCGTTGGGGGACTCGTTCCGCTCTCCCGAAACCACAGCGGCAGTCGCCTCATGCGCTGCTGGGCGGGTTACGGGTGGAGCCGGTGCTACGGTCCGCCCCGTCGTGGGTCCCACCAGATTAAGCACGAATTCGTTTGTTTTATCAGCGCTCCTCGGGAAGAATGCCACCATGTTATGCAGTGGTGGTATCTCCTCGCCTCTCCGTACGCACAGGGCTGGACCCTTCCAACGCTCTAACCGTGGCGTGATTTCCATCAGCCAGGTGGCCGACCTCTCCTCCTGACAGTCGACCAGCGGCATACCGCCCTTAAAGAGGATTCCGTTGAAGGCGCCAGTGTACGGTTTGCCAGTACATGGGCATTGACTAGGCAGTCTTGGAGAGCCGTCAGCTGTTCGGACCCTAGGGGATCCGCTGGGTAGTTGCAGGGCAACACTGCCATCCGGATGCTCTTAACTCAGAGTACTTTCGGCTGGCGGTTCTCGTCGGTTGCTGGTTGGGGTTGGAGCACTTTCCACTAGCTTCCTGTGGTCTCTCTCCACATATTCTTTTGGGCCTTGGTGGTTCTTGGGGAGTTATATGGCCGCTTTTTCTTTTATCAATATGGCTCGGTGCCTCTTGGGGCGCCGGCTTTGCTACACTTCGTCCTTCCGACAAGGCAGCTTTAGCCGCCTTTGGTTTCTGCGTCTTGTTGCAGGCGAACCATTGGCACTAGAGCGTTGTGCATTATTAGGAGAGAGATTACTCAACCTGCTCCTACTCAGAGCCAGCTTTTCCGCTGTCTCCGGTGTCATGCTGCAATCGCGGCTGACCCGCTGCGCTGAGTGCCGCTGCAGGAGGGCACGTCGTCGTCGTCGCGGGCGTGCTCCCCAAAGAGTGCTCTCTCTTCCGGCGACAAGGCATCCAGGAAGCTGAACTTTCGTCTAGCTTCTAGGCCACTCCTGCTCGTTTTACTAGTGCTTCCGCCACTGTTAGCCGTCGTTGCTGTAGACGTCGTTGCTTTGGTCGTCGTCATTGTTGTTGTTTGTTTGTTGTTGTTTTTGTTTATTCATCTTTTTCTTACGACCGTTTGACCCTTAATGTGAGCCTCCCGGTCTATTCTTATTAATGGGAAGTCAAAGTCCGCTGCGCCAGAGCCCCTTGATGCAGTAAGGCCACCGTTACTTCCCAAGGCGGCCCGGTGTTGGGAAGGCTCCGTACGATTACAGCCGAATTTACCTCCTGGCTGCAAATCATCCAACAACCTGGATTAGGAGGCGGGCGCTTTTTGGCGCCGGGCACATGCAGCATCTTCCAGCCCTCAGGAGAGATGCTACGAGCATCACCCCTGGTAGTTGGGAAATGCCGTGCTGTGCTGCGGTTTAAGCCCCTGCACCACGACAAGGTGCCTACCACTCGCAGAGGGTGAATTGAGCTACTCATTTGAGACTTCCTCAACTTGAGTTGTCAATGTTGTAACTGCTTCCACAACTAGTCCACTTAGGACCCATTCGAAAATGGTATTTTGCGCCAGAAGTGTATTTACGATTTTCTCAATACTTTCGAGTATTATCTGTGGTATGAGATCGCTGCCGTTTGGGTCTGCTAGCTTTAGGTGTGAAACCTGTTGCCAATGCTTCCTATTTATGTGATAGCTTGGTAGCATATTGGTTAATTGCGGTAGGAAAATAGCTTCTGCTTGTATGCGCTTATCCGCTTTGGGGGAAAAGAGGGTAATGGGGCAGATTTTATTTGAGTTTTTAACAACTCTTCCGCCCATTCCCGTGATTTCAAAATTGGCCAGTTTTGTTGGCAACTGTTGCCTGTGTTGTGCGCTAGACGGTATAAATGATCGTTTGTGATCTTGGTCTATTAAGGCTCTGAGTTTAAACAGTTCTCCTCGGTGTTCGATGGAGACAACTGCTGTGGGTAATAGTACCCTACTATGATTTTCGCTATGTAGCGTTTGGGTTTCTACCGCCTTTGAGCAGCATGGTGCTTCTTGGCAGTTTTCAGAATTTGTTGTTGCAACTAAACATGTTGCTCTTTTTACGTTTGCGCTGTTTGGGGATCAGCTGTAAAAATTGGTTATATGTAACATTGAATGATGTCTTTTATGGCAATAAACGAAATTAAATTGGCTTTCGCAATCTTTAAGCGTATACGCATGTGACAAATTGTTGGTAGATAGTTTTTCCGTTCTTACGAAATTGTTTCGATCGCTAATATTCATTTTTTGGAATTTTTCGCACGCTTTGAGTTTGTGACCTCCTCTACAAAGTTCGCATGACGTTTATTTATATTGTTCGGATGTAAACGTTTGATTTTTAAAAAAGCTTCTATTTAAATTATTGTGGCTACTTGCTTGGGGTCTATTGAATCTTTTATCGAGGTCGCTTTGAACGTTTTTCGGTCTAACTATTTTTTTTATCTACCCTTTGCTCCCACAAAAGTAACGATTTTTCTGCTAATGCGGCTGTGCATATGTTTACCAGAATGGGGTCCCAATTAGCTGTGGGAATATTCTGTGTCGATAAAACCGACAAACAATTTGAAACCGTAGATTGAAGCTTTATGAATTCTTCACTGGTTTCTTTCTGAATTTTTGGTAAATCATCACTTGCTTGTCCACAAATATTCTTTCGTTTTCGTAAAGGCCTTTAA